AGCAGCAGCCACATCCGCCCTTCCATCCTACAGACGCATACAGAAGACATTAAAATAAATCTGAGGCCGTTTGAACCCTCATGTTCTTGGTGTACCTAGGTGCAGATGTTATTGTGGGATTGATAAAAATCCAATAAAATATAATAAATATATGCCCGCTCCTGCTGCTCCGACGTGTCAACATGGAAGTGCTGGAAGCTATTGATGTCATTGAGTCAAATGTTTGCTCATCAAAGAAGAAGACTGATCCCTGGTTTTGCCTCAGAGATTTTGGCCTCTCATGCTGTGGGGCAATTTGTGTGGAAGCCATTACCTGCCTTGTGAGCTCTGGGGAACAGTCATGGACACTTTTTTGAGGGGAAGGGATTTGAATCTATTTGTTTATGGACATTGAAAATACAAAACTGAAACTGTTATTTTGTGGACATTGAAAGAAAAAATACAGAACTGCAGATGTTATTTGTGGTTGGTCTTATGTGTGAAAAAAGATGCTTGTCATTCTCTGTTGTCAAGTAATGTCACATTTGATTAAATCGTTCCCTGCCTATAGGCTGCAAGTGTGACAGATTTATACTGTATTCTGTGATTAGAATAGAGTGAACACTGCATGATGTGATTATATAAGATTTATCCTGTATTCTGTGATTGGGAAAAAGTAAGCACTGCATGTTGAAATCATGTTAGATTAAAAATATAGTCAGTACTCAGAGCAGAGGAAACTGCATGTTGAGACTGAGATGGAGGATAATGCATTACCTTATCTTGATTTATGATTGTCCACTTAAAGAGAGCCTGAAAGCATTCCAGGATGCCTGACAGCATTCCAGGATAAATAATAAGGGAGCTGAGTAAACAGGTGGATGTTATTATTAAAACCAACACCAAGAAAAGTGCTGTAATAAGACTCATGTGTTAGTAACTGAGGAGCTGAGAAGCAGAACTACTCCATACCTTAAAAGGGCACAGTTAAGGGACAGTCTTTTTGTGTTCCGAGAAACAAACGGCTCTAAAGAGCTGAGACCAATCAGAGCATGACACTAGAATGGTATGATGGAAACTGGTTCTGTCTAGTAATCCGTCTATATAAACCAGGCACAGCAATGGGGAAGTGCTAAACGGACCGTGGAGTCGACGAGACAGGACAATATAGTTATCGCCCCAGGAGCCACTCAGAGCGATTTGGACAGCTCAGAAGGGACTTTTGTTTCATCAAGATAGGAATACTCCCTTGTTCAGCCGATCTGATGCCAGACCAGACCCCTCAAGATTAGGACTGCTTTTGGGGGCTAAGGGTGATTCCTTCCAGGGCTCTGGAGGAGAGACTTCTCTTGCCATTTTCCAAAGATCTTCGGACAGAAATGGTGAGCGACCCCTAGCATATTGTCCAATTACAAAATTTTATACAAAATAACTGTTTCCATAATTGAGAGGGAAAGGTTAGATTAAGAGAGTGTTTTCCTGCTTCCATCCCTCTCGAAAAGTTATCACATAAATTGTGTGCTGTCAAGGTTGGTGGTAACAGTTTTTGTTAGAAATCTGATTGGCTCATGGGACAGTTAGGGGTTTGTGGGGAGTTAAAATGCTTTGGGGCTCCAAATGCATAACAGTCCATTCATATAAGAGGAGGCTGCCCTGTAGTGGACCAACTATGCTCTAGGATTCAAGATTTCCTAACACAGCTCATCGGAGCTAGGAGAGCCTTACCTTGGTGGACTCCCCAAATCCTGAATGTCCCATCTGACCAATAGAACATTTCTTGGAACAAGGCATGGACTCTCTATCATTGATCTTTTTGAATAATTAAATGTAACCAATTATAGTGTGCTGATAACGCTGTACCCCTGCAAATCATTAATTAAAGCAAAGCATAACACGTAAAACTCTGGACTATCACTTCTACACTTCGTACTCATGGATTTGGAAAGCTTGGTTCAATTCTAACAAAAATATGTTTTTAAAGGTTTCTCAGCTTTGATTAAACAACATCCTGGAATCTTATGCCTAGATTCTAAAAAATACCAGATCGGTAACAATTGCGCTTCTACAACTGAAGGTTGGTGACCGTTAATGCAAGTTTTCCCCATGGACAACAATTCAACCCCGGTTGCTAGGTTGGGCGAGTCATGGGGTGAGATAAGTGTGTGATTTGCAAATGAAGGTCGTTAACAATCTGGGTGAGTCACTTTCAACACAACCTTAAACAGAACTAACCTAAGGTCACTCTGGGTAATACTCAAGTGCTAGATTAGTTCGATATACCCCTTGGAGGAGAGGCTGCAGTAGGGGTTAGCCATAAATCCTAGTGGTGACCCCTCTGGGTAGATTGAGATGATCCCTGTTCGGGCACCATCTCAATCTATCCAGAGGGGTTTAAATATTTTGTGCACTCCACCCATCTTTCAGACGACTGTACGTACATATTCTCGTTGTATGTTGTTGCAAAGCCAATAAAGTTTATTCTGATTCTATAATCACATCATGCAGTGTTCACTCTATTCTAATCTCAGAATACAGTATAAATCTGTGACACTTGCAGCCTGTAGGCAGAGAACGATTTCATCAAATGTGACATTACTTGACACTGTACCAAACGGTCTGCACCTTGTAGTGTATGGTCCTTGTGTGATGGATGGATGCTTCTACAATTAAGTAATGGGTTGATGGGTTATATATATGTTAACTAACCTGTTTAAATAAAGGTTGAACGAATGTTTTAAAAAAAAGAAGTAACTCAATAAAATTGTACTTGTCAGGAGTGAGACCTGACTGGCACTCCTAAATGAAAATTCCCAAGCATAGGAAGCCTTGTATGTCAGAGATCTGATGGCAGAGGATCCTACACACAAATTCAGAAAGGTTTTTTAAACGTTTTATTGAGTAAATAAACAGTTTTTGGTGTCTCAGGTCCAGGGGCAGGAACTGTATCTAAAATGATACAGAGGGGAAAGGTTAGTGTTTGGCAGAATAACAAGTAGTTATCTGAATACAGACAGTCTGGTGAAACACTAACCTTTCTTGATGTAAGGGGGCGCTCCAGCAAGAGATGCAGAGCTGCAGAGACCAAGGGAAGTCTAGAGGCGTAGTTGAGGATGAGCAGGGTTCATACACGGGATCCGAAGAGGAGACAGTACCGATAGGGAGAGGCAAAGGCGAAATCCAAAAACAGGCATGGGTCATCAACAAGGTCAGAAGGCTGAGGCACAAAAGGGACAGGCAAAAAGCGTGGTCGAGGGAAACAGGCGTGGATCAAGATTAAATAGCTGTGAACAAGGAGAGTACGCTGGATAACTGCGGCTGCAAGCAAGCAGTTGATCTGGCAACCTAGTGGAGAAAGCAGGAAGTATATATACACCCAGAAACAGGTGGAAACCATCAGTAGCAATTAGAGAGAGAGGTGTGGCATGTAAAGAGGCTGGTAGAAGCAGTAGAGGTAAAACCCCAGGAGAGCAGAAAAGAAAAAGTCAAACAGTGAACAGAGTGATGAGTAAAAGGAAAAAACAGAGTGTAAACTGTGACACTGTGTAGTGAACTTGACCTGATGTCAAAACTTGACCTTAGGATCATATGGTCAGAAACTGTCATTTCATTGATTTGCATCCCGAAATACAGGTTGACCCATCCTGAGACTTTCTTTCTTGAATTAATCAAGTGGAAAAAGACAATTCTCTATGATCATTACTATTTTACAAATGTTTTGATAATCAAATTGTGTTAGTTCAAACAATGTTTACATGTTGAAGTGAACTACTCATTTTTATTTACTTAAAACAGTAATAATGATTTTTATTCCTCATTCAAAGAAGAAATCAGGTTAATATGCATTTCTTGATTTTCTGTCTTTAATAAGCAAAGTTGTAAGTGTGTCGAAGTTCAAGTTTCGGTCAACCGTAAGTTTACTGAAAAGAAATGTCATGTTTAACTTTTACAGCGAGATACTGGGAGAGGTGGCTCCACGAAGTCTGGTTTTCTCCATGATATCTTTCTGTTTGTTCTTAAACAATCTGAATCTTTTCCTTGACTTTTAATAACACCTTACATCACAAAACACACCTCTGTTCTGGTCCACCGACCAATCAAAAAGCTCTCAAATGAACCGGAAGTAGAGCCCATTTAAATGTTGGCACTTCCTAGTTCAGCAGAGAGTTTTGGGAGTTCCAGAATGCAGAACGCTGGAATTCAGGATGCTGCTGAATTAGAATCAAGCTGAACCAGAGACGATTTTGGGAATTATAACTTCTGTTTGGATAACCTCACACGACTCTCGAGGTTCGAGCTGTTCTCACGGAGACGCTGAAAGAGTTGAAAGGAGAGCTCTACACCGACGCTGAAGCTATCATCTGCAAGGTAAAAGAGTCGATCTCAACTAAGCGTACCGTTGGCCCAAGCTGGAAAAGGAGGAGCGTGTCGGTTCTGGTTAAAACAGACAAATTCCCTCACACATCTCTCTGTAGATAAACCTCATCTTTCCATCTTTAAACTCTCCTATCTGCTAGCAAATTAATCCAGATGTTTTCAGAAATGTCTGTGGTGAAGCAACGGAAAATCATGGCCGTATGGTTTTCCTGGTTGTAAAGCTGATTAATTATATCGTTATTTTTCAATTCTTGCCAATTAATGTAAATGTGTGATGTGTTAAACTTGATTCTGTTAATAAATGACCCACTCGTTTGGTGAGTCAAAGATAATTAACGTCTCACGTCCACATTTTATTAAATTCACTGCACGTATGTTACACAGTCCAGAAAAATGAAAGAACCCGTTTTAACAGTATGAATATATCTCAGGATATGTCATACTACATCTGTAAAACCATCACGTGAATCTACATCACTATCTTTTCAGTCTTTGTGTGTGTGCGTGCGTGCGTGCGTGCGTGCGTGCGTGCGTGCAAGCGTGCGAGTGAGGGAGTGTGTTTGTTAGCAGCTGATTTCCTCTTTTTAAATGTGTGATGCCTCTCAGCTCTTCTTTTGTGTCTTTCTGTCTTTCTGTCATCACTTTAGGTCTGAGGTGGAGTTGTATGCAAATCTTCCACGGAGGTAGTTATAAACATCTAAAAGATCTAAATTCATGACAAATGCTCACACACACAACACACACACAGAGAGGTTCTCTATGTCTCTCTAATTTTCTTATCTTTTTGATTCTTATTGTTTTATATTTTGGGCTGCCCTAAAATGTTGCAAAAATAAAACTTGTTGAACTAAAAGTTTTTGTATGACGTTGCCATTAGTTTATGTTTGTGCTATATGCTATAAACCAAAACAAATCTTACCTAACCTGCCTGTCTTTTTGTCCCCCCCCCCCCCCCAAAAAAAAAAAAAAAACATCCTCCTATATCCTCAGCTCCACCAAGAGGAAGTCTGAAGACGACAGTGAGCTGGACAGCCCCACAGACGATGGTTTTTATCATGGACGTTCATCCGCCGCCAGCTCTTCCCAGTCCAGTGCTTGGCCCAATGACATGGATGCAGGTACCCCCCCCCCCCCAAATTCTATCCAATATTTGTCACTCTACCCACATGAGAAACTCTTGTTTGAACTCCAGCCAACAATAAAAAGTCCAAGCTGATCATTCGCACTTTTTAAGTCAGTCAACTTCCCTTCACTGTGGCCGTGTGCTCTTAGAACCACCCACCTAATCACCGTCACAGTCGGTTTGCACACTGACCAATCAATCATTTATTAGACCATCAGTCTTCCTCAACAAACAAAACTAGATTAAAAGTAGTGTTTACTTTTCAAATGTCAATACATCACTAATGTTTGATTCTGTTTCATACTATTGTCCTGTTTTTAAATTTATAGATATATTATTGTCCTGTTTTTAACTTTATAGATATATTATTGTCCTGTTTTTAAATATATGGATATATTATTGTCCTGGTTTCAAATATATAGATATATTACTGTCCTGTTTTTAAACGTATAGAGATAAGCTCATCGTGCTCCACAGCATCTTTAGACATGTCTGTTTACAGACAGGTAGAGTCCCATTTCACAGTGAACCTGTCGACCACTTATTGATTTATATTGAAGGGCCAGAGGAAAAGAGACTTGGTGCTTCTTTGCATGTGCAAACCTTTAGAAATCTGCCAACATGCACACTCCTGTGTTCATTTTATTTTAAGGTCAGAGACCAGAGTGATTCTCTCTAGGTTCTACAGGTTTCACCCAAGCTTAACAGTCGGGTGATAACCTTCATGAACGGTTTGTCAGCAGACAAACATTCACCACTTTATCCTGATGCATGCTCAATAATCCAGGTAGAAAAATCCAAAAAAGTTCAATCTGGTCCTCTGGACATTCAAAAAAACAAAAAACAAAACAAAGCAAAAAAAATATAGAAACGTTTCGTCTCTCATCCGAGAGACTTCCTCAGTCTGAGGTGCTGTTTTCAGCTCAGTCTCTTAAATAGCACCGTCTCAGAGTGGATCAACCAGTTTGCTGCTGACAACCAAAACCAGCTGATCACATGATCAAGAAGGACCATCAGCCTAACAATGGATCATTAGCACCTGATGGCTGTTTACTATTCACAGGAGGTTGAGTGATACTAGCAATAACAGTCACACTAACACAAACACACACTAACTAAGTCACAGTAACACTCAACCCCCTGTGAATAGTAAACAGCCATCAGTGTGCTAATGATCCATTGTTAGGCTGATGGGCCTTCTTGATCATGTGATCAGCTGGTTTTGGTTGTCAGGAGCAAACTGGTTGATCCACCCTGAGAAGGTGCTATTTAAGAGACTGAGCTGAAAACAGCTCCTCAGACTGAGGAAGTCTCTTGGATGAGAGACGAAACGTTTCTATATTTTTTTGCTTTCTTTTGTTTTTTGTTTTTTTGAATGTCCAGAGGACCAGATTGAACTTTTTTGGATTCACAGCTTTAGTTTCAAACATAGAAATTAACTTGTCTTGCTCTATATTTTCAAGCGTGTTTATTTCTTCCTTTGCTTGGAGTTTTTTCATTCTAGCTTTATTTAGACAGCTTAATCCCATTGAGGGCAGCACGGTGGCACAACTGGTAGAGTTGCTGCCTCTCAGCAAGCAGGTCTCCAGTTCAAATCTCGGTCCGCAGGCCTTTCTGGGTGGAGTTTGCATGTGCATGTGTGCGTTTTCTCAGGGTTCTCCAGTTTCCTCCCACAAACCAAAAACATGCATGTTAGGCTGATTGGTAACTCTAAATTGTCCCTAGGTGAGAGAGAGCGAGAGAATGAATGGTTGTTTGTCTCTATGTGTCCATGTGATGGACTGGAGACCTGTCCAGGGTGTACCCCGCCCTTTGCACAGTGATTGCTGGACATGGGCACCGGCGACCCCCGTGACCCAAAATGGAAGAAGCGGGTAAAAGATGATGGATGGATGGATGATCCCATTGAGCCTCGGGGACTCATTTAAAACAGAGACCAGATTTAACAAAGAATGATGACAGCATTGGACATCATAAAGGATGTGTACAAATTGAGATTTTTATTTTATTTATAACAAGTGAAAATAAAATGGAATTTAAAAGAAAATGTAACAACAAAAACAGCTAGGTTGTAAGGTGATATAGAAAACTAAAACAGGAACATGTTTGCATTGGTTTTTCCCAGGAACTTAACAGATGTTTGAAGTTTAACGTACACTTTTTTCTATGGGTCATGTTTGGCACCAGTCTTTGAACATGAATTTCATCATCACACCTTCACCTTTAGACCAGTCTCCAAGGATGTGGGGGGTACAGCCTCACCCCCAGAAGGAGCCGTCATCCACAGTGGATGCTTTAAGATGTTTATCTTACCGTGGCTTTGTGTTGGAGCGTTCACTCAAGCAGAAGATGAGTTCAGTCTAAAGAAAGGGACAAAAGTGGTATCCGAATATGTATGACCTGGTTATATGCACAAGCCTTAAATGCATTAATTTATAACGTGCTTTTCTTACATTCATCTCAGTCTATAACAAATGCCATCAGGTGGTTGGTGCTAGTTTTATTTTAGTCATTATTTAGTAACAATGCATCAACAAGTTTTAAATTAATGTTGTTTGGTCAGAACTAAAATGACTGCCATGGCCACAGAAAATGTTGTGTAATAAGATGATCAAATCTATCCACTATGAAAATAAAATGTTAGATTTGGTCGTTTGTGTTGTAGTCATTTGCCAAGTTATCCCCCTACCCCACCCACCCCCAGTCTTTTCTCAACCAGTAACTGAAGGCTTTACTCAGCTCAGCCCTTGTAGGGCTCATATTTCCTCACCTGAAAGCCATCATGGAGTTAACTGAATGTTGTGCATGTGATCAGCCACTACACAACCCTCTGCGCTTGTGTCTTCTGTGTCGTTAACAATACCCTTCTTCACTTTCAGTGCAGCACCATTTGGCGAGTGTGCAGGAGAGGAAGATAAAACATGAAAACGATGGCGTGCAGTTTCCTTACCATGGTTAGAACAACACTTATTTTCTGCCTATGAGCCTTTATGACACACAATCATTCCTCTGTGTGTGTGTCTGTCTCTGTACATGTTTCACATGTGCGTATTGTGTGTGTGTTGTGTAGATGAATAACCTGCCTAAAAACATGCTTGTATTTTCTTACATGTAGTTCTGAAACAGGTTCTGATGACTGATATTCATGGACCAAACATGTAGTCAGGGTGAAACACTAAGCTACAGAAGTTTTTACTTTTATTTTGTTGTGCACACTGACACTGTGGTGGTAACTTGCTGCATCCCCTCGCATGTACACACCTGTACCGTGGCTAACTGCTGTTTATACAGAGCCCACACATGAGTATGGGCTCTGCACATGTGTAAATAAGCGCACAGATATTCACACACCCCACCCCCCGTCACACATTGCAACACATGGCCTTATCATGCACCCCACCCCTGCAGGTGTTCAGGTGGCTGTCCCTGACATGTAAAGCCCATCCTCCTGCTCCTCAGCTCTCCTTTTATCTCCCCGACTCCCCTCGGTCTAATTGAAAAAGGCGTACAGTGGGGAGGGCCCTGCTGAGGCAGGAAACATGTCGGGGAGAGAGAGGGCGGAGCAAGAGCTAGAAATTAGGTGATTGAGAAAAGTGAAGCATGCAAGGGGGAAGAGCCGGGTGAGGAGACAACTTTGGTGTTGTCAAACGGTGATAGCTGATCAGAGAGAAGGTTAATTAGAGGAAGTGGAGGAGCCAAGAGTGTTGGAAATGTTTCTCTGCAGCTCGTCAGCTTCTGCTCCACTTAGCTGTAAATGTAGGACACCAGAACCACCTCCCAGTCTCCATCCAAACACTCTAGGACACCTTTTAGGCAAATTGGAGTTATAATCTCAACTTTAACCCTTTGGAAGCAACAGGTCAGGTCTCTGAAGTGGGATTTGAGGAAAGGTTATAAAAATAATTACTTAACTCAGTCTGAAGAAATAGTTTGTTTATCACCAAATTGTCGAGCTAACAGCTGGTTAGAGTCGGGCCAAGAACAAAATTTTACAGCATTTAAATTACAAATTAAAGCATTTATTACAGCAGTTCATGTGAACTCTTTGTTATAAACTTTGACGTTGCTGTCCGTTGGCATTAAGTCAGCGGCTGAATGGCACAGCAGCAGCTAGCTGTAGCACTGCAGGTGCAGTTACATCTTATTATTTCTGCCAGAAAACTGAGTAAAACTGTTTAAAATAGTATTTGCATGAATAACTTTGAATTCTTTTAAACTGGAGTTGTTTTAAGATGGCAGCAATCCACTTTGGTCTTGACCCTGTTCAGACCAGCTGTTAGCTAGCCAACCTTTCTGACTCTTTTTCTTCAAATTGAGGCTCTTCAAAAAACAGTCTGCAGCAGGTAACATATTAATTGTTCTTAACCTTCCCACAGAACCCCATGTAAGATCTGAACTATTCTTTAACTGTAAAATTCAAGTTTTAAATTAAAAAACAATTTTTTTTTTAATTCTCATCTCTTTCTGTCTGCTTGGGGAAAAATATGCATTTATTGTAGTCAGAACATGTTCACTCTCAAGGTAAATCAATACAAGTGAGATCAAATAAATAAAAAATTAAACTTGCCAGTAGTGTGTGTATGGTTTTCAAAACTAGCCCACCTGTTTCTAGCTAGTCTTACCTGAGGATTTCTGTTCAGGTGATAGAAATATAAACAACCAAACAAACTAAAGGAACCTAAAAGTGTACTTTAATGTCGTCCATAATGTCCCTCACTCCACCAACATCCTCTATAACCATCAATTCAATTCAGTTTATTTATATAGCGCCAAATCACAACAAAGTTGTCTCAGGGAACTTTACAGAACGCATATTCGGTAATACATGCAGATGCATAAACATGCATTATTACATATAATTTCCTTAAACAGATTCATATATAGACTTGATAAATTTCTGCACACACACACAGCTGAAGCATTGTCCCAGATGGTGTTTCTGTGTGCAAGTAGCCTTGGGATCCACGAGGATGTTGGAGACAGCTGCTCCACAAGGGTGAAGAGCGGTGGGGGGAGGCTAGAGGAGGCAATCGAATCAACCGTGATTTCATATTAGTTCCAAGTGATTGTGAAATCTTTTCAAGACACCAGGGAGTCGTAGCGGTGGTGATGATGACATGCCCTTAGAGGTGCACGGCTGGTTTTCCACTGATGAACATATGTGACTAAACCACTAAAGAAAAAAGTCCCAAACTTTCCTTTACTTATTTAAATCACTTACGCTTTTTTTTAAACTGTGTGTGTGTGTTTCTGTCTGTGTGTTCTTCAGAGGCGCATCTGGTGGCAGGCCTGTTAGTGCAAAGAGACAGAAGGGTCATCAGGGGAATGCTTGATTAGTTGCCAGGGAAATATTCGGGCTTGCCAGAAGAGGAAACTGCAGTTTTGGCACATAAACTCAATCTCAGATCAGACCACTGCACAGTCTCTGTAGTACTGAAATGTAACGTTTCTTGATAGTTTAATGTCTTAACTTCTTATAAATACAGATATCAGCGTTCATCAGATTCCCTTCTGTTGTGTTCTTCCGGCTCCCTAAAGTTTTATTTATGTGTAATTAAAAGCACATGATAACTGAATTGCAACCTTTATAGTTCAACCTGTAAGTTTTTCTTCCCATCTGAATCTTTCCCAACGTTCTCTTCTTGTGACTTTCCATGTTTCAGTCCTACTGCTCCTCTTTCCACCTTTCTCCTCTAAGTGTGACACTGTCATATCATGGTGTCAGAAGTGGGATTGGGGTCGTTTTCATGCTTGAAATCACTCTGACAATACAATAAACCCACAGACTTCCCCTAAAGTGGGGTAAGGAGAGATGTGGAGTCTATTTATATACATCTCTGTTAAAGACATAAATGGTTCACGTGAATTCACTCCCACCTGCTTGAGACTTAACTCTTTTACACACCAAGGGAAGGTTTTACACGCCCCCACACCCCCATAGACTTTCACACATCGCCAGCTGGAGAACTGAGGAGCAATCATATTTAGTGCTGTGTTTGATGTGGAGGGGCCACGGAAATAGACTACAAAACAAAAGTCCCAAAAAAAAGTTTTAAAAAGCAAGCAGCATCACACCGCTCACTCATTAGGAAGATTAGAATACAACTTGCCGAGGAGGAACTGTGTCTATTGTTGCATCAGTCAAACTGTCTTCACAGTGTGTTCAGACGTGTACGAGTGCATGTACGCAAGAGATAATAACCATATTTCACATCTTATGGCATTCCAATTTCATACATGTTGTCAGCAAAGCAATGAAGGAAAAAAAGACACTGCTGCATTTTTCACAGATTCTGCTTTGCTCTCTCGCTCTCTCACATATTTTCATGTCTCCCACATTCTTCTCGCCTCTCTCCCTCTGTCTCCTCTCTCCGTCCGTCTGCTTGTCTTTTGCACTCACCAGCTGCTGTGTCCATACTGTGCAGTGTGAGCTATTTCTGAATGAAGCTATCTCCTCGTGCACCCAGCCCATGAGCTTTCCTGAAGCCAGACCACAGCTAGTCGACTGTGGCTGTACACTGGCCACGCTCATACACAAAGAAAGCCAAATGTTGGCACCTGTAAGAGAGACACCCAAAAAGATTAGACAGAAAAACTTAACAGTGGCACAGTGGAGATTATTACAGCTACAGATGTTGTTTGGCACCAAGACATTGACCACATTCAGTTTGAACTGTTATTCTTAGTTTCGGTCCTTTGAAGATGTGCTTTTAGGTTATTATTAAACAGTCCCCTGCCCGTGTTATAAGGCCTTACAAATCCTACAGTCTTTATCTATCGTGCAACAATAAATTATTACCCTAAGATCAGCTGTCAGTACTTTCCTTATGGTTTTATTTTATTGTCTGATCACATGCAGGCCAGATTATACCATACCATACCACTTTATTTATAAAGCACTTAAAACAGCTACAGGGCCAACCAAAGTGCTATACGGCCAAAACAACAGGTAACACACAAAGCAAAATACAAAATGAGGTAAATCAGAATATAGACATAAAAATGATGCAATGACGACAAACCAGTGTGGAGCATACAGGATCAAAACACAGATCATCTGGTGTTGAAAGCTACGGAATAGTAGTGGGTTTTTAAGCGGGACTTGAAAACAGAGAGGGAGGGGGCCTGTCTGACAAGCAGAGGTAACTCGTTCCTGAGTCTTGGTCCTGCTACAGAGAAGGCCCTGTCACCTCTGCACTTAAGACGAGTTCCTGGAACTGTGAGGAGCAACTGGTCCGCTGACCTCAGGGAGCGCGGTGGGGCATACGGTTGTAGCAGATCAGAGAGATGGGGGTAGGGGGCGAAACTGTTCAGTGATTTGTAGACATACAGGAGTATTTTGAACTGGATTTTAAGGTGAACTGGTAACCAGTGCAGTGAGGCCAAAACTGGTGTAATGTGCTCTCTTTTGCCTGTACTGGTTAAAAATTGGGCTGCTGCATTCTAGACCAGTTGTAGTCGTGCAATGGAGGTCTGACTGATACCAAACAGGAGTGAATTGCAGTAATCAAGCCTAGATGTAATGAATGCATGTATTACTGTCTCCAGGTTATTTTTGGACAATATGGGCTTCAGTTTAGACAGTCGCCTCAGTTGGACATGATTGTTAAGTTTCAGGGAATGGTCCATTATAACTCCCAGATTAGTGACTCTTTGTTTTTCTGAAAGGGTTAGAGCGGAGAGGTCGATGCAGTGGTTTGTGATTGTGTCATTGGAAGGGAACAACATGACTTCAGACTTCTTTTCATTGAAACTTAAGAAGTTGAAAGCCATCCAGTCCCTAATATCAGCCAGGCAGTTGAGCAGAGGTTGAATAGAGCTTGTACCATTGTGTCTTAGGGGGAAGTAAATTTGACAGTCGTCGGCATAGAAGTGGAAGGGCATGTTGTGTTTCCGGAAAATAGCACCAAGCGGCAGCAGGTATAAAGAGAATAGGAGGGGACCCAGGATGGACCCCTGCGGAACCCCCCATTTAAGCTCTGCCTCTGCGGAACTAAAATCCTTGATGGAGACACAAAAGGATCTGTCAGCGAGGTAAGATCTGAACCAATTGAGGGCTGATCCTGTGACGCCAACCCACTGCTCCAACCTAGCAATGAGGATCTCATGGTCGATGGTGTCAAAGGCGGCTGTGAGGTCCAACAGGACAAGCAGCACAGAAACACCGGTATCTGTGAATCTGAAGATGTCGTTAAAGACCTTCAGCAGGGCAGTTTCAGTGCTGTGGAGAGGTTTAAAGCCAGATTGGAAAAGCTCTAAGATGGCGTGATCCTCCAGGAAGCACTTCAACTGGGACTCGACTATTGTCGCTAGTACTTTAGAAACAAATGGGAGTTTGGAGACAGGCCTGAAGTTGTAAACGACTGAGGGGTCAAGGTTTGTTTTTTTCAGGAGAGGCTGGACGGCAGCATGTTTAAAGGATTTTGGCACCACGCCAGTGGATAAACTACTGTTTACTATATCAAGAATGGACGGACCTAGAGTAGGAAAAACCTCCTTTAGTAGTCGAGGGGGGACCACATCAAAGGGGGAACCAGAAGGTTTCAAGCTGCGCATGACCTGCTCTAGAGAAGATAGAGTGATGGGTTCAAAATGGTCAAATAGAGCTACAGATTGAGGTGGGATGGATGGGTCATGAGTTGGAGGGGAAATGAGAGCCCTGGTGGTCGCAATTTTTTCCAAAAAGAAATGTAAGAAGTTGTCGCACAGCTCAGTTGAGGCTTCCAGAGGTGATGGTTCAGTGAGGTGGAGAACAGAGTTTAGGGTGGAGAAGAGGACACGTGGGTTGTGAGAGTTTGAGGTAATTATATCAGAGAAGCATTTGGATTTTGCAGCTTTCACTGTTTTCTGATAACGGTGCCAACTCTCTTTGAGTATTTGAAAAGAGACCTGCAGCCTGTCTTTCCTCCACTTTTGCTCCGCCCTACTACATTGCTGCCTAACGGCCTTGGTGACGTCACTCAGCCAAGGTTCTGCCCTCAGTTTTGATTTTCTAGTTTTAACAGGCGCAACATGATCCAGAGTCTTTAAGCAGACAGAGTTGAACTGGGATGTCAGTTCCTCAGTGGTGGTGAGAAACACTGGGGGCTGAATTATCATTTCAGAGTTATAAACATCTGTGAAACGTGCGGCAGTGAAGTGGTTAATTGCCCGGGTCCTACGTGCAAAAATGCACGACTTAGGAGTTAGATGGGGGAGGGTGAACTCAAACTGGACTGGCATGTGGTCTGAAAAAACATTATCACCAATAACAAGATTATTAACAGTCACATCATGAGTTAAAACAAGGTCCAGTGTATGTCTGCGTTCTTGGGTGGGACCGTTTACATGCTGAGTTAGATTAATTGAGTCCAATAAATCTAAAAAGTCCTTAACCAAGGGCTTCTCAGGACAGCACACGTGCAAATTAAAGTCCCCGATAATGAAAAGATGCTCATATTTTGGTGTGATTTCAGCCAAGAAGTCAGAAAACTCATTTATGAAATCCTTAGACCGAGGTGGGCGGTAGACAAGCGCAAATAACGTCGGAGGCGAATGTCCGAGTTCAAAGACGCTCAGCTCAAAGCTGTCGCGGGAAACTAGGATGGGCAGTTGTTTACAGTCATAAGTTGATTTGAATATTGTTAATAATCCACCACCGCGCCGGCCTGATGGCCGCGGGGCGTTAAAACACAGACAGTTCGGTGGCAGTAATTCCGTCAAGGCGCTGGACTCACCCGGAGACTTCCAAGTCTCTGTGATGCATAGAAAGTCCAAATCGTGCTCTTGAAAGTAGTCCCTGAGGATAAAAGTTTTGTTGGTAACAGATCTTGCGTTGTTCAAACACATCCAGATACTGTCCAAAGTGGAGCTAGCAGCGGTGGAGTTAGCACGCGCTAATGGCCGCAGGTTTTCAATAACAGCCCCTCCAGGTCGGTCCGAGCTGCGCACCGGCTGACAACTCCCGCTGGTTACCTGGTCCGGGCACACAGGAGAGGAAGATGCAGCACGCAGAGCTTTCAGCTTCACCAGCTGACCAGCACGTTTTCCCCAGCGTCTGAAGCGATATCTCCGGGCAGGGAGGTGAGGAGTTCTGCGAAGGTAAGCTGGCACGTCTGCCAGCAGGGGGGGAGGAGGGGGGGTCCAGAGGTACACTCATATTTTTCCAAATAAGCGCCTTCAGTGACAGAAAAACGAAGATTCAAAAGTTGTTGTCTGTCATACACCAGCAGAGAGTTGATGTCACAGATGAGAAATGCAAAAACAAAAATAATCCTAACACCATTAGCAGAGGTGGATTGCAAGCCATGTACACGGGGGCCATCTTACCGGAAGTCTAATACTAATACTAATAGGAGTCTGTGGCCAGCAGCCAAAAGGAGTATGACTGAAGCCAGCGATGAACAACAATAACTGTTCAAGTCCCCTTCAGTAGAAATCAAGTAGATTTTTTAGTGTAGTTAACTAAAGGAGCAGCGCTTGTTGATTAAAACCACCTCTCTTTTTTTTCCCTTTTACCCCCATTTTTTTTCTGTCAGGACTGTCCTCGCCTGGTTCACTTAAGAAGCCGGGGAAGTTTGATTTCAACGCCCTGACTTCTCAGACGAGATCCCCCCGCATGGCGTTCACGCACCACCCGCTGCCTGTGCTGGCAGGAGTGAGACCAGGTGAGAGTGCTGCCATAAAACCAATCAACCCCACCCCCCACCTTTGACAATCTGAAAAAGAGAGAGAAGGAAAGATAGTGGTGAATGTGATCGTAGATTGATACATTTACACGCCCAAACTCTTCTGGATAAATTAATTCTTCAGTCGTCTGCCTTAAAATGCAAATCATGAACCTTTTTGCTGAGAAAGTCAAAAAAACAACTTTCCAGTTGTACAGTTGCAACTTCTGAGAAGCAACATGCCTGCAGAGTTTCACCTGTTCAGTGTTACTGCTGTCATCACGGCTTGGCATAAATTCCCTTCTCTCTCTCTTTCAGCCTTTCTCCATCCATCCATTACAACCACCATCTTTGTGCTTGTTATTAACTGTCTGCATGAAGCCCGTGCTGCGTTTGTTCCTCTGTTGCTGTACACCTTACAGCTTCGTTCATTCGTCCTGATGGTCTTTGAGGACAATTTATGCATTTAAACTGACAAAGTTCTTATTCCTAAGAGGTTATTTTAACTAGATGTGGGGAAAATCTCACCAAATACAAGTTCAGACTTTTTGAAGTTATGTTGGGTTCTTTGGACAATTTTTTTTTTCTGTTGATAATACCTTTTAAAAAGCAAAAAAGTCCATGCTCAATAATCCAGGTATACAAGCCAACATTTTTCAGTCAGGTCATCTGGACAGTTTCTTTTTTGTTGAAACGTTTCACCTTCCATCCGGAAGGCTTCCATCAGTCAAGGACACACGCAACACAAAACTGATTCTTCCCCCAAACAGCTTACTCCAAAGTGGAACAAACCAGTTATGTTGGTGCTAAGATGGTGTCTTTGGCACATCCCCTCCTCTGATGCCAGCCCTCTTCCTTGTCGACAGTCATGTCAAACTTGTTCAAAACCAAAAAAGTCCAGAAAAGTTTCAGCAAAAAAAGAAACTGTCCAGGTGACCTGACTGAAAATTGTTGGATTGTATAGCTGGATTATTGAGCATGGACTTTTTTGGTTTTGAACCAGTTTGACATGACTGTCGACGAGGAAGAGGGCTGGCATCGGAGGAGGGGATGAGCCAAAGACACCATTTTAGCACCAACATAACTGGTTTGTTCCATTTTGGAGTAAGCTGTTTGGGAGAAGAATCAGTTTTGTGTTGCGTGTGTCCTTGACTGATGAAGCCTTCCGGATGGAAGGTGAAACGTTTCAACAAAAACAGAAACTGTCCAGATGACCTGACTGACAATTGTTGGGTTTTAAAAAGCAGTTTCAGTGCAGGGGTAAAGACTTTAATTTGATCGGGGTGACAAGTTAACAATGTCAATTTGTTAATATAGCACATACAAACAAAAGTTAACCAAAGTGCTTAACAATTATTCCTACATGTGTCCAGTTTCACTACTTTTTGTCTTTCTAAACAGATCTCACTTGTACATGAGTCTTCTAGGCTCAATGTGATGTATCTGTCTAAATAAAGGTTGAATGAAATTTAGTCAAATTAAAATGAAAACGAGAAAAGAAGAAGAAAATGCATCTTGTGTCACTCAGGAAACACAAGTTAATAAAATACACAAGAAGAAGAAAAATGAACTTTGACTGGTCCTCAAACTCTGCCTGGATCAAACGCCAGGAAAAATGAAAGATTTAAAGATTTAAACGTCTCAACATCTTTAATTGATCAGATCAAGTGTTCCACAGCTAACAGCTAGTCCGAGTGGGCTCAAGATCAAAGCTGCCACCTTGAAACAACTTTAATCCCAAAATATTATCTTTGAAAGTATTTTATAAACGTTTGACACATTAACACAGTTCTGGTAGAAATGGTGTAAAATCCTTTGTGAAAGAGCCTCCAGGGGCCCCAGGGTTACACCAGAAGTGCTCCAGTTTGCCATTTGGGCTTTCAAATTAAACTAAGTATATGTAAAAAGATTAACAGCAACGGTACACGATTTGTAAAATAGTTTGTATCAACTGCTGTAAAATATGACCATTTCTAGAAATGTTTTAATCCACACAGAAACACAGAAAAAGACTCCCAGTATTGTAGAAACTGTGCTGTGCTGAAATGAAACATGAGAGAAGGTCTGGAGAGAAGGTGTGGAGAGAAGATCAGGAGAGAAGGTACATTGGGAAGGTCTGAGAGAAGGTGTGGAGAGAAGGTCAGCAGAGAAGGTGTGGAGAGAAGGCCCAAGAGAAGGTGTGGAGAGAAGGTGAGGAGAGAAGTTCTGAGAGAAGGCCTGAGAGAAGGTGTGGAGAGAACGTGAGGAGAGAAGGTGTGGAGATGAGGTCTGAGAGAAGGTGAGGAGAGAAGGTGTGGGGAGAAAGTCCGGAGAGAATGTGTGGCGAGAAGGTGCAGAGAGACGTGTGGAGAGAAAGTGAGGAGAAAAGGTGTGGAGAAAAGGTGTGGAGATAAGGTCTGGAGAGAATATGTGGAGAGAAGAACCGAGAGAAGGTGAGGAGAGAAGTTCTGGAGAGAATGTGTGGAGAGAA